GATATTTTTGAAGGTTGCATCAGGTTCTGTTTCGACATAATCTCAGCTTCTTTGAATTTTTTGAAAGATTCGTCATATTTTGTTGAACCGTACCAGCATATGGTCAAACATTTTTTTTCAATTTTGAATCAGTTAATTTATAAAATAACGGTAGTTTCCGTGACCACGTTGCAGATCGTTTAGTTATTATGGTTTTGGGACTAGAATCCCACAACCAGTTATCATTTCTGAATTCTTTACGATAAGTGAATTTGAATTCCAAAATGAAATAAAGCGTAACTTAAACGACTCTTAATACAAAGTTTCACTTACTTACACCTGTTACTTCTCGCGAAGAACTATGGGAAGCTCACCAGCATTCTACATTCAACCCTGCCCTGGGCAATCCTTTCTAACTCTTACCAGTTGTTATTCATCTTTTTCATGTATGCTTCTATTTCCAGAAGTAATGTGTTCTTTAGTCTTCTACTTTTCCGTTTCACTTCAGGGCTTGTCTCGTGGTGCAGGTTGGTGATTTGCGTAATGTATGTTCTATCCATTTCCATCGTCTTTTCCGAATTCCCTCTTCAGCTAGAAACTAATTTGTTCTCTCCCACAGAAGGCTATTGCTGATGGTATCCGGCCAATGGATGTTGAGTATCTTGCGTAGACAGCTATTTATAAATACTTGTACCTTCTTGATGGTGGTTGTTGTAGTTCTCCAAGTTTCAGATTCGTACAGTAGAACTGCCTTGACGTTGGTATTAAAGATTCTGACTTTGATATTGTTTGAAAGTTATTTTGAGTTCCATATGTTCTTCAATTGTAGGAATGCAGCCCTTGCTTTGCCAATCCTCACCATTACGTCTGCATCTGGACCTCCTTGTTCATCGATGATGCTTCCCAGATATGTGAAGGATTCTACATCTTCCAAGAGTTTCGCCATCAAGTGTGATTGGTTTGTTTGATGTCCTCCTTGCTGTATTTGTGGACCTTGGTTTTCCTCTTGTGTATGTTTAGGCATACCGATGCAGAGACTGCTGCTACACTGGCTGTCTTTATCTGCATTTGTTAACGTGTGTGCGATAGGAGGGCTAGGTCATCTGCGAAGTCGAAATCGTCTAATTGATTTTGAGCTGTCCATTGTATTCCATGTTTTCTCTCAGATGTCGAGGTCTTCACAATCCAGTCGACCACCAGAAGAAAGAGGAAGGGAGAGAGTAGACAGCCTTTTCTGACTCCGGTCCTTACTTGGAATGCGTCTGTCAGCTGTCCTGCATGCACGACCTTGCACTATAGTCTGTCGTATGACTTCCGGATAATGTTGACAATCTTCTCAGGAACTGTGTAGTATCGAAGATGTTTCCATAACGTTCTCCTATCTGCAATGTCAAACGCCTTTTCATAACTAATGAAGTCAATGTACAGTGACGGGTCCCACTCAATTGATTGTTCGACGATGATCCGTGTCGCAATTCGGTCTTTGCACGAACAATCCTTACGGAATCCAACTTGTTGATCTCGAAGCTGGGCGTCTATCGCATCTTTCATTCAGTTCAACAACACTCTGATAAAGACTTTCTTTGGTACTGACAGTAGTGTAATGCTTCTGTCTCTCTTCCGTTGTGGCCTGTCTTCGTTGTCCTTGACAGTTCTCCCTGGCTTACTATATGTTCCTGCTAGTTTCTTCGTTGTATCGTTAAGCTGTTTCATATTTCGTTCTCTTTCAGCTTTTTCCGCCACGTACTTCCACGTATTTCTGCATGTCGGCTCTAATGCTCTTCTTTACTTGCTTTTTTGCTTCTATGTACTCAGCTTGTACTTGGACTTTCTCTGCTCCGATTCGGCTAATCCTAATTGCTGTCTTTTCGTTTTTCCTTTCTTTGAAGCTGTTCAGTGTTTCTTTAGAGATCCATTCCTTATGATGATGCTTATTGATGCCCAGAAACTCCTGACACATTGAAATTAACGCTTCTTTAATACCTTTCAAGTTGCCCTCCATAGTAGTTCCTTCTTCCTTCAATAGATCATATAAGGCTTGGAACCTGTTGTTGAGAGCTATCTTGAATTTATGGAGTTTGCCGGTATCTGGAAGGAAGACTGTATTGAACCTTTGTAGTGTTGTTTGTACAGTTGTCCAGTTCCTCTTTAGCTTCAGTTTTAAATTGGCCACAATTAGGTGGTGATCTGAAGCTATGTCACTCCTCTTCTGGTTCTCTCATCTTTCATTGTCCTTCGGAACGTTTTTTTGATGTAAATATGATCTATCTAGCTCTCTGTGGTGTGAACCTGTGAGATCCATGTAGCTTTGTGTATACGTCTGTGTGGAATAATTGTGCCTCCTATGACCAATTTGTTGAATGCACACAGATTTGCAAATCTTTACCCATTTTCGTTTCCCTCTCCCAGTCCATGTCGTCCCATAATATCTTCATATCTGAAGTTGTCTATTCCGACTTTGGCATTTCCATCTCCTACTAGAATGGTGAGGTCGTTTCTTGGGCATTTCTCTATGATTGACTGCAGCCGCTCGAATTGATCTTTATTGTTGTCGTCGCTATCATTGTTGGGTGCATAGCATTGGATAATATTCATTATGGTCTCCTCCTTCTTTGTTTCGAATGATGCTTTAGTGATTCTGGATCCGTGGGATTTCCATCCTACTAGTGCATTTCGTGATACTTTGGACTGCATCAGAGCAAATCCCTGAGTGTGCCGAGCATTTTCCTCTTCATGATCGGAGTATAGTAGCATCTCTCCCGTATTAAGTCTTTGTTGTCCAGCTTGGATCCAATGGGTTTCACTGATTCCCAGTACTGCCAAATTGTATCTCCTCATTTCCGTTGCTATTTGACTGGCCTTCCTGGTCTCCTACATTGTCCAGACGTTCCATTTATCTATAGACATTGTTGCGCTGGTTGTTAGAAGGAGAATCGACCTCATGGCTTCCGAAGGAACTCGGCTTTCATCATGAATCGTCATAATTCTTCTAAATGAAGACCTTCTGACACTTAGGGCAGAGTTTAAATGGATTGAATTGTTTTTTTTCTAGTAAGCGTTCTTTAGCGAGTTAGTTTTCTACGGGATGGGGTGGCTAACCCAATGCCCAAACCTCCTCCTTTACCCGGGCTTGGGACCAGCAGTAATTTTAGAAGAGCTACAGGCGGAGTTAATATAAAGTGCTTGTCCAAACTATTCACAATATTTATCGGTTATACGACTCATTAAACTTGTCGAAACGAAAAACTGCACCAGTTAAACGTAGTTAGAGTGACCAAAGTAAAACAGATTACACAAGACTGTAAAGTTTCTACTTACAGGAGTTATGACGGTAATGGCCTATCTACCTATTTGTTGATCGTATTCTGTTGTTTATAGATGTGTTATCATTTGAGACATGCTGTCTACTTGACAATAGGACAGTTTTTATTCAATTCAGTATCATAAAATTTAACCAGACTAGTGCAGTCCTGGAAATACTTCAATACAACATATTTGCTGAAATTTTATTGACAGTTTTACCTCCATTATAAAACAGATCATAAAGATCCCAAGTTTCAGTGTCAATATGAATTCAAATCAAATACAAAGAGTCCTGTTTATCGTATTTATCCGATACTATCATCATTCCGGCCCATTTATCTTCGTTCTGTAATGTCAGTTACTATGTTAAGCCCATATACTGTATTCTAACGTCCGGACATCCCATTCTACTCATTCTACTTGAGCTATACTTTGACCTTGTTATTTATTCGCTTATCAATCTAAGCTGTTTTTATATGAGCGTATATGTGTATGCCCTTCCTATTCCATTAATCACATGTCTGTAGCTTATTTTTGTCTGACTATAAACATTGATTAAGGCTTGACTAAAATGGAGTTGGCTTCCCAACCATCTTCCCGGCGTGTGATTTTGCTTTACTCTGTTTCACTAATCTATGTAACTGTGGTAAAATACATTTAAATTTATGATACTCTCAAAAACCAACCACTTGTTATAATTCGTCTAAATATCGAAAACATAAAATTCACTGAAAAATCACAAGCAATATCTCAGACCACTGAGTCCTTCAAGGCATAATATATTTTTGCTTCCGTATGTCCGAATACGTCAATAAATTTCTTTAATACCACTTGAAGTAGCTCTCGTTATTGGGCATTCTTGTGAGGATAAGAACATAAGCTAAACCAACGAGAAGAGTCTTAAATTAAATGTAACTTATGTGTGAAGTCACAAATTTGTGTGAGGGTTAGTGATAGTACCTGGCTATCTGAACCATAGTAGAATAATTTACGTTCGAACCAGTGACTCAGTGTTTCAAGAGCCATTGCTTTAACCTAAAAGCGATATCTCAGAAAGAGATATAGGAATGAGTTTATGAAACCAAAGTCCAGTTATCCTTTGGAGGGTCGGTGTGTCTCCCAGATTGAATGCTAATGATCGGATGAAAATGTCAAACAGAACTAGCGCTGATAGAAACATATTTACAAGTCGTTTGAGAAATCTTGACATTTTTTATTAATAGGCAATCCTAATTATTTGCTATTAGCAACTCATTACTTTGGTCAACTTCCCATTACAGGAAGTTATTGTAGTGTAACGAGTTAGCTTTCAATTAAACAAACCTCTCTAGGAATTTATTCAGTCAAAACCAAAATAATCACATAACTATTAGATAGAAGAATCAATACAATCTAACTGAGTTTCAACCATTTGTTATTTTTTTTTAAAAACAAACATTATATTAACATTAAATATTCATTCAAAAGTTAAATTCAACAGAAGAAAACGGTTAATACATTCAATCTGTAAAGAAACATGATAAGTTTTCTTGTTTTTTTTTCTTCTTAAAACTTCAAACAAAGTTAATATTATTTCTAATAGTAATATAAATTGTCAAATATTAATAATTCATCAAAAAAAGACAATTCAACTGAAAGACTAAACTGAACTACTCAATAATAAGAGAACTGTATAACTTGCTCAAACAATCTAGATTTATCAAACTAATATAATTTTACTATGTATCCTTATTGACTGTTACTTGAATATTTAATTTTAAATCGGAAAGTTCTTTTTGAAGTGAAATCCATCTATCAAATGAAAAAAGAAAAGAAAATAAGTGATACTTTATTGAAACAATCAATTGGACAAAGAAAATAATTTAAGAGAAAAATATAAACTGTTATTAAATAATAACCTATAATGTGATTGAATAAGTAAAAGGGAATTCAGTGAAGAAAATTTTCTTTGTGATTTACTCTCGAATCCATTTTATGATGTAGACTTTTCTATTCTCCTATAGACATATATTTTCCATATATATATATATATATATGAATGTACAGTTGAAGTAAATGATTTTGTCGAAAAGTTTTCCTCGCTGAATACTCTTTTTTGTTAATAAAAAAATAACATAACAGCTTAATCAATAATAACACTGAATAAGTTGAAAGAGATAGATTTGAAAAAAAATGGATAAGGTACTAATGTCAAGTATTGTTTAATGTAAAACATTACTGAAGGCAATTTTTAGTAGTGAGTTAATATGTAAAGGCTGTGCTTCGATAATTAATCACCCTCGTACTGTTACCATATAATCTTCAACAGTGTTTGAAATAAAAAGGTAAAAAGAAGCAGCTACTACAGTTTATTTAGCAGATAATTCGGACCAGGCAACAGAGAGGCAAAACGAATGAGTAAGCGAACTATGATTGTAGTAATAACGGCAATAGTAGTAGTAAGTGTAAATGTACAAATATATATGTACACATAGGGAAATGGATGAGTCAATGAACAGATTAAACAGTTAGTAATGAAGCTAGCAGAATGAATATATACGTAGGTGGTAAACAATGTTCAAGCACACGTGTTTCATACAATCACAACAATAATAAAGATACAATAAGTTGTTATAGTGCGGATGACTTTGTTCGCTAAATAAGTTAGCAAAAGGGCTTAACTGGGTTAAATGAGAATAAACTCAATTGCACGTGAGTCGCTATAAATATAGCTTATATTGAACTATACTACTAGTATTAAACTGAAATGATTCGAAAATGTACACTTAAGTTTTTAGCTACTTCATATTGAATATCATCAAAATGAAAGGCATAATCAGAAACTATAACATTAGAAGTTACTTTTATCGTTAGTATGAATTTCAAAAGTGGAAATATAACACATATTAGTTATAAATATCACCTACTATGTATTAAAGAAAAATACAGTTATACAGCCTAAAATTAATGGTTGTAATTTATATCAATTATAATGGTTTGGCGAAAATATTAAACTTTCAGATGAATTACAATTGCTAGACTGAAGTTACAAATTATGTAATGCCGCTTGTGACTTATTAAGAGTTATTTACATTTCATGTAGTATATATCATTTCTATTAAATAATTGGTATAATTCAAAGCAATTTATATCATTTGTACTGTTACTCTAAACACAGTTATATTTTTCAATATCATGTACTGTATATGTATATTGAGTACCTTATAAATGGAATAATATTGTTCATCCCTACTTTTGATTTTCAAGTGGTAAACACATATTTTCACAATCATTTAAAAATTTTAACGGTTTTCAAACAACGACTCAGCTAATGTATTCATTTATTACAAATAATAATTGTAGTTAAAGTATACACAATACGGACATAAAAGTACAATGAAGAAGATTTATAGCTCAGGTGAGTTATTTTGATGGGATCATTTTTTCTGAGCTAGGTGGATTAGTCAAGTTTAACCATCCAGGTAAAACAAAGAAACTATCAAAATACAATCCCCGAAATATATATATAACGATCAAAAAATTATCATTACCTTTGTTCAAGTTCTTGATGCTGTCATCATAAACAAAATAAGTAAAATAAAATCATTAATAATAATTATTATTATGATTTTGATATGAATAATTAAACAAAAGTAAGCTAACTCATCATAAGTACAAGAAACATAATGAAATAACTCATTAAAATAAATGAATTTCATGGATGCATATGATTTTCTTTCGCATTTCTTTACCAATATAGTTGAAGTTCTTAATGAATATACGGAACTGAAAACATAAAATCTGATGACGATGTTTTGTGTTTGAGTCACACTTCATGTAAATGTTCAGTAATAGTGTAGGGACAATCGAAAGTAATTGACACAAAATTACAGAGCATCTCAATAAAATCTGAGAACTATATATTAAATCGTTAATTTGCAAAATGTCCACCAATTGTCTCAAAATGCCTCAGACTTCATTGTTCTTACATTTTCATATAAATTGCATTCTATTCACGCTCTTGCTTTCTTGATCTTCCCTCATCTTCTGCTGCCAGACATTACATTCACGACTCGCATAATATACTACTTACATCAATATAAGTAGCATGCATACAATGCTACTAACTGACTATATAAACTATATTCAGTTCGATATGATTCGAACTTGTAACATAATAGCAGAAAATTAGATGCTTTAATTAATAAACTACTGTTTCAAATTAAAATGAATTAAATCTACCTTCTTTTCTTTGTTTTCTTGTAATCATTGTTTAAACTAAGTAGTTGTAATGACATATTTGAGTTCTTCAAACTATAGTAAACATTTCATTATATGTATGTGTATGATTAAGGTAGTAATCATTTGATCATGATACAATATAACTTTGTATTTAAACAAATTTCATTCATCAATAGTGTAAGTTAAATGATTCTTTTTATGGAAAATATTTATTCCTTTATACAACTATTTAATGTTAAAATATTCGTTAAAGAAAAACAAAATTATAGTCAATAATTATGATTGAAAATAACCGGATGATGTAATGATAATAATAATAATAATAATAATAATAATAATAATAAACTTACGGCTAGTATATTTTCTTCAACTTTTGTAGAGATTAATGTTACATGTTGTAAAAACGTTTCAAAACTGAAATTTAAATATAAATAAGTAGTATATAAATTTTTACAAAATTATATAGTATATAAATGACACGTTCTTTGTAGTGGATTAATTCAACGAAATGTATTTGGTTTCAGTTGTTTAAATCAGAAGAATAAATTTGTCAGTGAATTAGTTTAATTCAAAATTGATTACTTGGTTTAATATTATGAATTAGTCAATATAAATAAAATGCATTGACTGTATTCAATACTAACCATTTTCATAAGCCGGAAAATTCATTTTTTCTCTGAATAGATCAACATATATATACAATATAATTGTATGGGTTAATGTAGATGGATCTAGTTTTATTCAACTTCAATAGAAAACAAACATGAAAAATACACCTTATGAGACAATTAGAATTAGGACAGATGCAAGTGGATAATACGATTGTGTTAATTGTATTTTTACAACTGAATTTATGGATGGAAAGAACAGCTATTCAATGGGATGGTAATAATAAGATACTAGACTATATGTCAAACTATCATGGTTTCAATTTATTTAAAAATGTTACTTATTAGAATATATTCAAGCTCTCAGAGTTGAGATCGCTTCCTAACGAATCAGAAGGGTTTGAAGTTTTGTTGTTGTTGTTGTTGTTGTTACAAATGGATTTCATGTAATAGAATTAAAAACATTTTGCAAATCAAAGGAAAGAAAAGTTTATCCAGTAAATAATTTATGATTTTTATTAATAATTCAATGCATAAAAAGACTTTTGATGAAAACTATTGCCAAATTACTTATTCGATTTTATCATCGTTTATGATATCTTATTTATACAAACGGTGGAACAGTTATTATTTTACATGGGTATGTTCATATCCAATATAGTGAATATAAATTTACTATCACTCCTACTTACATGTACGATAGAATGTATACAAATTGCTTTGTTGTAAACGGAAAAATTACATTAGAGCACAATCTTGACTGAACTCATATTAATTAATAATCAATCTTGGAAATAACAGGTGATATAGAATAAACATGATGATATCACACAAACTATATTGAATGAAAGATCTAAAAGTTACATGAATTTTCAGTTATGACAATTTTGATTTTTGAAAGACAAACTTATTTTAAGATGATTAAATGCAGCAAAAAATTTACTCTACTGATAAGACAATGAAATTTGTAGTCAGTTTTAAACAAAAGAAAAGTATTATATGTGAAAATTATATTTGAAATATTCTCAGCGATTGAAACTTAACTCATTCCAAAGTTTCGTTCAGCTAACTTGTCTGGACTTCATCAGGGTAATAATCAAAATCAAAATTATCAAAGAAATATATAGCTTTTAACAATCAGGATTATACTGCGTTAAACCAATCATATTTGGATGTTGATTTTTTGTAAAATAGTATAAAATAAGTCAGTTGACGACAAATCATGTGAAGAATTCAACTATATGGAAATACTTAACTGAGTAACAAATCGTATGTGTGTGAGTGTGTAGGTATGTATGTATGTGTCAGAGATTGATATGAAGGAATAAATAAAGTTCAAGTTCAAGGATGAAAAATTGATAATGAAACATCGATGTACATGTCAAAACATAGGTTGTATTGTTTAAAAAGCTCATTGAATTCTTTCAAAAATATTAACGATGCATGTGATATAAAACTACAGGTGTAAACAAGTGATAGGTTCCAAATTTACTTGTCAAGCGAAATTTGCCAGGTAGTTGCCAGGTGAATACCATCTTTTCGGTCCAGGCTGTTTTCGTTCGCCCATATATGCAGCGCTTATACTGTCAATCTTTCTTTACGGGTGTTAAAACCTTTCTGAAGTATTCTGGTCCCTTCAAAATTAATTTTGTGTCCTGTTTCTAACGCATGTAACGCTATCGCTGATTTATTTTCAAGTTTCTTTAAATCAATCGAGGATTTTGAAACATTTTTCAAGCATTGTTTGTGTTCCTTTAATCTTACATTCAATTGCCTGGATGTTCCTCCAACATAGGTAGCATTACAGTCATGACAGTGAATCTCATACACAATGTTCTGTTGTTCTTCCTTTGCTAACTTGTCCTTAACTTTCACTAATGCCGATCTTATTGTGTTATTCGCTCTAAAATACACTCTTATATCATGTTTGAATAAATGTTCATCTCTATAGACAGAAATAATTTCACATATGAATTTAATGATGACACAAAATCTACTTTACTAAGGGATTGATCAAGTGAGATTATAATTGATGAACGCTAAAATCGCCTTAAAATGTACACACCTACATACTAGGGTTAAATGAAGGTTATAGGTTATGGTGAGAAATTAGGATTCGGATTCCCAGTTGATGGTTAGGCTTAGGAATAATGTTTTTTGTTTGCATTACGAACTAACATCAGCTATAATGCCAAAAAGTGGAGTTCAGCCAAATTAGCGAATGAATTTCAGGACTTGCCGTCTTAAATTTGATTGGTTCGTCTACAAATTATAGTCCAGCTGATTGATCAATAAGATAACATGAACTAAGAAACCTATTAAAATCTAATAACTGACATTACAAATCCAAGTATGAAACTTGGTTAAACATTGAAAATTAATTACTGATAATCATAAATGGAAATAGGCTTAGCTTTTATTTAAAAAGTAAATATTCCAACAGATTAGAACAATGTGTTTATTGGAAAACTGATGAAGTTGAGTAATAAGTAACAGTTGCTAGATATACGAATGCTATTGTAAAAATCACTAACACTCATAATTTGGTGAATTGTATTAGGATTTTATATGACCACTTTAAGATGTTACCATACAATAACTATAAAGAATGATATAATTTTCAACGTACTATTAAAAGCTACAATTATATTCTTGTAAATGTTGCTTATGTTATATGAGGATTCTCACTCAACTTTTAAAACACAACAAGATAAACAGTTATAAGCAATGTACCACGTGTGTGTTGAAGCCGATACAAAATAGACATGAAAACTTGAAACTTTTGGTCATAACTCTAACCAAATGAAATGTCTTTTCCACTGTGAATATGATAAACAAAATCTTTTATGATAAGTGGCCTAGAGTATCGTATCAATGTAAAAACATAAAAACAAATACAATGACGTAAAGACGTTTGTTTTATACGTTTAAATATCAGGTAATTTATCACCCTATTTCTCTCTGTTATGTTAACTGTCATACAAATGTAACAGCTAAACGAAATCTCATAATCGATATAAGTCACTGTTAAAGTTTTATGGAGATCAGAAAATATACCACCAATTGTATTCAAATCCAATTAACTTGAACTTCAATTACCTCAATAAATAAAATGAAAGAAAAATCACTAACTTACTTCATAGGTGAACATACTTCCAATTCTTTCGAGCCATTCTATAATAAAAAATTACAAAATACAATTAACTCTGTTAAATATTACAATCGGCAAAGTGGATGAAAATATACGTTTAGAAGATTTTGAAAATGATAAAATTGGAAACATTGAATATTGTTACTTACATTATACAAATTGTCAGGTAAAGGAGATCGGTCGAATGAATTTCGATTGAACTGTTCTGTAGTTCCATTCCACTCATCGCTTAGAGCATTTGACTTGACTGATTCTAATTCAATGGTGTTGAAAACTGACAAATTCTTATCACATGAATTTTCTTCTAGAATCTATTTGATGACAATGCCAATGCATAACTCATTAACAAATAAGTATTTAAGATAATTAAAATATTTTATAGAAGTTAGCAATATGAAAAGCATTTAATGGAACTTGTATAATAAATCAAACTTTATTTATGAGAATAGCCATAAAATATGACAGTTCATGAAATTAATAAATAACTTCTTGCTAATATGTCGCTGGAAGATGAGTGAAAAACCGGTATACGTAGAATAATGATAAAATACGTCGACAAGTGTCCACTAATGATAACTCTCAGGTAAACGATGAAGGCCATGTTACAAAATATCAATTCTATCTGTAACCTTGAGGGTAATAAGTAAGGATAAATAAGCAGGAATAAGACCATCAAACTGATACAATTGTTTGTAGTATTTATCCCATGTAAAACAATATTCCACATAAGTGAGGTGGAATTTTAAAAAAATATCGAGATAAATTTATGTCTGGAGAAAGAACACAAACTAAAAAGGGAACTTAGATAATTATGACTTTTATAATTGGTTGAACTTATCACTTTCGAACAAGCTTACAAAAAGGGTTAATTCCACTTAATTTGCTTTTGAACTTAAGTGATCATCGACCTTAGTGTACGCAACCACAACAAATACTTGGTAAGTTGGGTTTGTTTCAAGTGAGATAATCTATAATCTGTACTAATTAAACTGAGTGCACTTTGATGTTCCGCCAATACCAAGAAAGATGATTGGTAGGCAGTAAAATCAAAAGTAATATAAGAACCATTGTGGTAAATGTCTATGTGGTGGAAATCAAAGGCAGTGTGGCCCATTGCTTCACAACTTCTCAGAGTTGATAATTTTTTCAATACTTAGTCTGGTGAATGGTTTTTTTCTTGTTTTCGCCCTGACAGATTTAGCCTTTGGATATAGTACTATTCGATAAAAAATGGATACAACTATTTGAAAAACGACAAATACAAGCCTGAAAGCATATATCTCTGTTCAATTTCTCAGTGACTGGCTGGCAGTCTATATCATATGAATTCGCTTGAGCTATTTAAAGGAATGACAGAAAATATTTGTGATATTTCACATTGCTTGAGTATTTTTGAAAAAACCTAAATCAATGATCATAGGATACCCTCACATTTCTATAGATTCGATTTCAATCACAAACACCTTTAAATTATTTTTCAGAGCTTGCATTTAACTTACAAACACCCAAACGAATTCAAACGTTTTACAACAACACACAAGTTGTTTGTGAAAGTAATCTAAAGAGTAAAAAATGACATATTTCAGCAAACCTGAAAAATGAGCTCTAGTTGAATGTTATAAATAAACGTATCAACAAATTCACTGAGTTCCACGTAATAATCACTAGTCAAATAATATATTCGAATGGTTCTGTTAGTGTTTAGAAAGACCAGGAATTATACTGATTTTTTAACCAAAACACTGGTATATAAACTTTCATTTAATAAACTGATACAAGGATTGTTTTGATTGAAGGTATTTCATATAAATTTAATGGTATAAAGAAATAAATTATATACAACTGATTATTACTGAAGTGAATCAAATAAAAATGGAAGTGAACTTACAAACAAATTAGACAAGGATCTGGGAGAGCACTATCGTCATATGCTTTCCAGATTGTGGTAAGGTACATATCATGAACACGTTATTTTGTAAATGCGTGCACAATAATTCAGCTCTTCTTAGTAAACTTGTCGATAATACAAAGGTAATATCAACTATACTAACCCTAACTGAGTAGTTATATAAATGATTAGTATTAGAAATTTTTTTTATAACCACGTTAACTATTTTCTAAAACGTGACCAAGAGCACAGAATTCACAAATCATAAAAATGGGAGTAAATATGCCTAACAGTAATTTAAGCTATTTACGAGATATTTGAAAGAGGACAATGTTATGAAGACAGGTTATATTATGCACAATTAATATAATAAATTAGCTTACATGTTTTTCACTAGTTGATTTAAAGTTCTCTTTATTGGTCTGATTGATTGATGTGAATATAGTAAGTGGAATAACTTTAGTTCGTTTTCCCGTTTCAATATGTTTTGGAAAATGTTTTGGAGGAGTCATTGCAAACAAACTTGCAGCACTCGAAGTATCGCTGAGTTGAGATGAATAGTTATTTGAACCATTTTTCTCGAACTCAAAATGTGGACTGAGCAAAACCAGCGGAGACTTTTTATCACATGGTTTCGTACATAATCGTCTAAGTTTACCAGACAATTTAGCTGGTTTCCATGAACGAGATATAATATCATCATCGTTTGAGTCGACTATTTCATCATCAGGATCCACAATTTCTACATTGAAGTCCTGATCACTACAAGCATAATTATTCAAAATACATTTTTATTTTGAATGAAATTGCAAATGTGAAATATTTTCAGCGTTAATGCTCCAACTGAGCAAAACATTTTAGAAATATGCTGTGTGTTAACTAAATTATTTTCCTTCTACATAAAGGCAAGGCAAAATGTTTGATGATTACTCCTCGATAAACAGAGCTTATATTAAAGCTTGCTGTGTTAAAGTTTAAAAAGTAATCGGCACGAAATATTAAACTTATATTACGTGCCAGTTGGAAATTATTGGTACGGTGTATCTAAGATTCCAAGGAAAATTAAATTATCACCCAGATAATATGCATCTAATGTTAAAAAGTCATCTTACAAAAATACTAGTCCGATAAAATTGAACATCGGTTTCTATTGACCGAGTGGTTAAAATGAACGACGATAGTACAATTTTTTGAGCTTTATTTTATTGGGTGCAAGATCACGGAGTTAGTTGATAAGTGTAAGTATCAAGATTAAATTATCTTCAGATCATACTCCACATTTCATTGTTATAGGTTTAGAGACTCACGCGCGTTTTTTATCGTGCAATGACACGAATGACAAAACATTGTATGGGTTAAGTGATAATCACTAACAATGTTGTTCTGTTTACCTAGTTTATAAAAGCCTTACTATTTTCTAGTGCTATTTATCATGTAGATTACGTAAGCAACGTTTTCTGATCAACAAATTAAAAGGAGGAATGGATTTATTATTTTAAATTTAATGTTTATGCTCAAACTTCAGTAAATTAATGTTGTTCAAAAAAATCCAAGGCATGATTTCTAAAATACAGTAAATATTGTCGTTAGACTAACCTATTGACAGCTTTCAATACATCACTAAAGATAGTGAATGATTTTATACTATTAATGATATTAAATTAGATATATGAAGAAGAGAGATTAGAACATATGCCTAATTTCAGAAATGAAATTTTAATCAGATATAAGAGATAATTAATTTATAAAACATTTTTTGAAGTTAACTAACGAGACGAAAAATGTTTTCGAAAAATAATGGTTTACATAACTTATTTCAGTATTTCAGAGATACATGTGTTAATGAGTATTATGTACGATTTAATTGTTCGTAATGTATTGCACAAATATATCACACCATTCTGATAATCTTGATCCGTTCATTGCATGATTTAAATGAATTAACAGCCTGACATACAACAACTGATGATTTCTTGTTACGTATAAATTTAGACGAATCTCTTGATTTATAATAAATAGAAATTTTTTTAAGTAGAATATAGCAAACTTAATAAGTAGTAATGAACTGTTAACCAGCGTAATGTATGAATCATACTGAAATAAAGGTTACAAAACACGATTTGGATAGATTAGTAATGAGGAACTACAAATATTTTCATAAATTTGATGACCACTATGTTCTAAATTCTGGTACAAAAATATTTATTACATACCTATCAACTGGCATTGAATGAGGTAAAATCGCTGTTTGAACTGCCTCTTTCATAGTTGGAAAAGGATTAGATGTAGACTTCTTTGCTAAAATGAAAAGTTGAAAAACCATCACTGAATTTAAAATAAAAGAGCATCGAAAAAAGAAATAATTACCTGCCAAAAAATGAAATACTCTCGTTAATTTTATCCAAAAACAAGCATCAGATAAATACAGAAGAATTGCTAGAACTGTTTAAAAGAAATTGTTGAGTTTCAAAAGACTGACAAATAAAAGAATATGTGCTAACCGATAAGCGAATACATAACACTATCTCGAGCACAAGAACAGTGGCACAAAATGAATACATGTTTGTAAACTATTAGTAAAAGATTTATTATTATGGTAAATATAAGGATTAACCCTCTAAAATTAAATCCTAGATAACAGGACAATATTCGAGATCATAACTACGTCACGTGGCACGCACAATATTCGACTTACAATTAAGAACCAAATTGAAGATGCAGAATAGGTTATTCATTTACAGTACAAGACGTTAAGCATAGTTTTGTCTTAGTATAAATCTCCAATTAATCACCAGTGCAATCAATAGCGTCAAACAGTTTACAATATCATATAGTGTTTGATGCATTTAGCATACCTGGATGTCTATTACCACTCAATAAACAATTATGTCCTATTCAACACATCAAGACCATTATTAAATCATCGTTATCCACACCAAACGCAATATACCTCACAACTGATTGAACACAGAGTAGTGTTCAATATTATGTTTGTCTGATTCTTTTAGTGCTGATAGAACGTTGTCGAGAATGTTGTAATATAATGACTAGATAAACATGACAATGGCCACTACTCAGTGGTCAATCAACTGGAAATATACATCAGTCCTATAGGAGGTCAGTCGCTGCCTAAGCAACTTAATGGTACCATCTAAAATCATGAATCTCAGTGACAAGGAATCAAATCCGCTGTGCCAATGAGATATGGCAACTTGAACCAATATACAGACAACCAGGTTCCACTTTGCATTTGACTGACGAACTTATGGGATTAACGTGCCACACAAAAAAATACAAATTAACACTCCAACCTAAAACATAATAATTCTCAAAATTTCTGAACATTAAAATAAAGGTTTTCGATTAGTAAGCCATATTTAAATTACAGAACATTTTCACACATGGAGACCATCCAGATGAAAGAAAGATTCTAGAAGCGAATGTTAGCTTTTACCAGTTTTATGATACAATAAAATTAATTGTAACATTTTAAAATTACTTATTAAATTTAAACACAGTTGTATGAACGAAGAATATTCTTTTCAATAATTTCTCATCAGGTTCTAAAATTATAAATCCAAATTAATAATCCATAAAATTAGCCAAATTTAAGGCAGAGTACATCATTTGGAAATTGTAATATGTGAATTAAGAATTGTTGTTTCTTATCAACTGTGATAGTTAATGTTGGAGCTGACTAATATGAAGTTGTTAACTTGAATCAGTTGATAAGTAAAATGAAATTGTACGATAAATGATCAGAATAAATATGGTCAACATGGGGTAAGAGAGAAAATAATGTTGAGAAATTATTGAAAAGAATATTCTTCGTTCATACAATTGTGTTTTAATATAATGGGGATTTTCCAGCGATTAAATTTAAACAACTTTCCAAATAAACAAAATCTAAACATTAAATTCATTCGTTAGAAACTTTATGGAGATCATTTAATTTAAAGTTTATTTTCATCATGAACTGACTTCACATGAAGAACTTTTGAAAACCATACAGTTACTTTATCTCAGTTTCAGACTCTTTTTCAATGCTTTCACCATATGACTGTATTCAGAATCAAAAGGCCTCATTTAATATCAGTATTATCAGTACTTATTTTCCGCTCACGTTAATTCATGATCTTTTAATATATATATATATATATATATATATATATATATATATAACTTATGGAAGTCATTCGGTCACGGATATTATTGAAGTTGATTACATTTATTGATTAACAAAAACTAACATCTATGTAACTGTCAAGTTTTCAAGATCCAAAACACGATTCACTTAATCGTAAACAGCATTAAAAATAATAATAATAATAATAATAATAATAAGTGACGTAAAAACGTATGTTTGAGAAAAACTAACATCGTTGATTTCTTTGATCATTATTGTCTGTTACTTTCAATTTTTTCTGATTTTCATTTTTCACATAATTTTTCTTTGATTTCAGGTTTTTTTTATTCACATTCGAAATTTCACATGCTTTTTGAAATCGTTGTTTTTCCTTTTCAAATCTTTCTGAACGAGTAGTAGCAAAGAATTTTTTCTTTTTAAATGTAGACACTGGTTTTATTATTTTATGAATATTTATAGGTGTTTCTGTCTCTGTATGAGGGATAGATGATAATGATGTTTGTGAAAGATTTGAAGATAAAATATCATTTTTTAATTGTGATGAATTCATATCCAATTTAGTAACAGTTTCTAAATTATTTTGACTTTTATTTAACAATCGTGCACTTCGTCTTCTTTCAGTTGAATTAAAACAATCAAGTCGAACGCGAAGTGGTTGATAATCGACATCTGAAGAATCATTTGATTCCAAGGATGATGTGAATATAGTTTTAGGTGATGATGAAGATTTATCAAGTTCATGTAATATTTGGTCTTTTATTTGATTATCTGTAAAAAATAAACATAAACAATTAATGAAAATGAATTTATTCACAGCATTTTGCTTAAGTTGTAACATTTACAAATAACTAATAAACTGTTCATTAGAATAGATTATCATGAGAAGATTTTACTTCAAGGAAGATAATATACAATTAATAATTTTGGAATAAAGAATTTAAAATATTTAGTGATAAGCAATTACAAACAAAGACTGAATGAAATTAAATGATTCGAAGTTATAGACTACAATATTTATTGATAGATCATAAAACTCTCAGAAAAATACATTAAATATTACATAAATTACATTTTTTAAAATTGTAAATGTAATATAATCATCACTAATGGTTTGAAGATGAAAAAGAACTAAATTTTAGTTAAGCAAACATTTCACATATGATTGTATGTCATGCATTTTCTGCTTGGACGCTTATTACTGACTTTCTGGCCACTTTTCACATCTCTAGACCACTTATAAACCTGAACTTGAACAACAGACGAATGGTGCAAAATATAAGTAAAACCTTTACTCTATGGTTAATCTATTAGTAAAGTTTCGGATGATCTTGATGTACTAGAAACGTCTAGAGACATATTCAATATGATAACAGCGTTTTAAGTTAAAAACATGAAACGTGACACATTATCCTTTACTTTTCTAGATGTTTCTGAAAAGCTTTTATTCAACGTTGATTGGATAAAACATTTGCATCCTTTCTGAGTTTTTAGATACATTGTCGAGGGATACCTGTAAGCTCTCAACAGTATGTTTGGTAAGCGATCACATACTTATGAGAAAAAATGTGTTTATTAGTTAACCTACTGCAGCTTATAAAACTGTATCTTATCCACCTGCTTTCTCCAGTGGTTGGGCCGCAGATTTCAGTATTATTTCATTATGATATTCTACTTATCCTGGTAGTATTAAAACTGAAAGAATAATAATAATAATGTGAAAAGTAGAAGACGGAGAACTCATACAACTGAGAAGTATATAAGCAGAAAATGTATTTGTCATATATATATATATATATATATATATATATATATATATATATATTCACTGTCTACTAATTTTTTGTACAAATATTTGCAGTTAAATAACGTACCAAAGAGAACATGCGAGTTAATTAAATTAAAAAAACACAAATTATGATCATAATTCATCATTATGTAAAATTATATACAAAAGTTTAAACAATTAGGCATAATTCACTTACCGATCTTGCGCTTAGTAGTTAATTGTTTGGAGCCTCTTCTTGTTTTTCCCTTTAATGTAACTTGTGTAGATAGTTTGGGTAATGATACAACTATAAAAATAATTAGAGTTATTCAATGTGGTAATATCAGTCTTTAAGATTAACAAAATTATGTTTTTATGAGATAGAGCTAGTCATTTTATTGACAAAGTATTCTGGATATCATCAAAGCCTACTTCAAATAGTCGGAGGCAAATTACAAACTAATTCCAAGTTCTGTTAATCAGAAATAATCCATTTCAGTGACAACTAACAATCTAAACAAGCATGACATCTCATTCAGTCATGCATCACATCACATCAAAATTGATTAATCGTTACATATTACTAGAACACGTCGCTCGAAGAGATGAACATATATTCTGAGCTACATAAGAAAGTAAACTGCCTTACTCTAATAACTACACTCATAGGTATTAGCTACAGTTTGAAACCCCAAAGTTATTGGGTCAAAGTATCCTATACAGTGAATAAAAGAATGGTTAACAGAACATCACTATTTTTCAAAGATTTTAAAGCAATAAAATGTCATTAATATTACCTGTATATTCTTCAGGAGTTAGTGGACAACGAACTCCTTCAGGTGAAATATCCAGAAGATAAGAAGCTGATATATTACAAAGCTTTTTCGTCGAAATAGATAAAGACTGGTTTGCAGATGCGCAGAAGCTTCTACTAGTTAACAGTGAACTTTTGCATTTTGGTTTAGAAGTAATAAGTTTTAAACAGGAAGAAGTAGGAAGAATATTATGAATTGGAGAGTCATTTTCCACCAATGATGATAGTGATAGAGAGGTATCAGGTTCTGGGACTTCAGGTTCGCGAGTGCGTAAGTTTGAGTCATTTTGTTTTTCAGAAATCTGTTCAAATAGTAAATGTATTAGGATTTTTTTACAATTTGCTGACTTTAGTTAACAACCCAGCTTAAGAAGCATGTTGAATAAATCATAATCAATAAGAAAAGAATATCAAATTCGTCAGCTTCTCTGTAGCTAAACACACTGGCAGAGATAACAGCATGAAACAGAAACCAACTATGAAATCTACCGAAACAACAAAGTGAACTATAATGCCCAATAGATGAGTACAACTTGAACAGAAGATTATCGTCAAAATCACAAAAACCGATCAGACAACGATTACATCTTTGTAATGAATGATCCAGGTTTGCATTATAATTAAAACGCGATCACCTAGCTGAAAACACATATTCTTGATTGGTCCCAAAAATAAAAGGTCATTCTGTACTACAACATTGTCCTCTACCAAATACAACCTTACGTTACACTTAAATGAAATACTTCATTGTATTCATTGAAAAACGTTCTATACAAATCTGTTTTTAGAAAGCTTTCTTTCACATCTACTGTAACAGTAGCCACAGATGGAGAACAGCAGTAGTTTTTAAAATCCGGAGGCTGCTATTACATTCAATGTATATTATGATTCTGACTTTGGTCTCCTTATTTATTGTTAGCATCCCAATGTATTTCGTTGAAAAAGATTGAAATACACGCTTCAATAACTTAAGATGGTGGATCTAACACATAACTGGTAAATTCAAATCCAATGTCAATTACGATAATAAATGCATAACACTTGACAACCTAACACATTTCTATGCTGAGTTATTGTTTTCTACATGAGTGTAGCATTCATGAAATTCCTATGAGGAATCCGAATAATAACACTATTCCGTTCATTTAGCAGGAGTACATTTGAATAGTTCATTTGCTTCAATATGATAGCAAATAATATTTAAGGACTGAAGATATTCAGTAGATGTATAAGTGATAAATATTTTAATCATCATGAAAATATAGGACGAAAATGGTCATCATTTGATTACTAGTGACTAGCTTAGAAATTAGGTTCCGTAGTTCCATTGAGAAACAGTGACCAGAGGATTTAACGTATGTCAGGTGGGAGACATTTATCCACCGAAGAAAATGGAAGATGGTCACTCAATGTCACGGATTAATTGAAATTACTCATTAACACTGTTGAAGGCTGACTCAGTGGTCTAGAAGTTAGGCTTTTGGGAGGGAGACTGAAGGTCGTGGGTTAGATTTTCGCGTGCGGGTTAGTGAATGAGCACTGCCGAAGAGTCTTAAACTAGGAGGAAACGACCGTTCAGTGCTTCCAGGTTTTAGGTCGTTGTCTGACTTTGATCGGTTTATGATTTTAATGAAATTCAACGATCTCCACAACCCCATATTAACAAACATCAACTCATTGACCTGAAATTAAAATATGTATACGGTCATTATAAATAAAATAGATGAAGTGAAAGAAACCAAAGTAATGTCAGTTTGAGTTATTGAAAAACACTGAATACTTACAAAAAATACACAAAGTGGTCATATGAATAAAATAACACTTACTACTATTATTGGATCAGAATTAGATTTAGGTGATTTAGCTAAGTCAGGAATTTTCAAAATATTGGAATCAAAGTTCTCTGTAAGAACTTGTGGTTCATTAGTAATCTTAGCAAGCTGTTTCGCACTCGTGTCAACTTCTGTTAACTTGTAAATAACTTTAAAAGATGACACTGATGACAAGTTGTCTACAAATTCTTCGAAAACATTTGTGCTAACATTAGCTACAAAAATTGAAGAATAAAGTGTAAATCAGATAACTGATACTATGATAACTGTTATTTTATATTTTCTTCATAAGACGAAAGCCAGTCTAGCAGTAATAAAGTTATGTATTTGAATCGGTGACGAATTTTCAAAAGTAAAACAAGACGTAAAAATTTGTCGTCTTCTGTGATTTATTCAGAAAATCAAGATTAATCAACGGACCTAACGAGGGTAGTATAATATCTAAGATATCAAGTTGGAAAATGAAAGTTTATCCACTCATCAATTAGTAATAATGTTATTTAACAATTGATGAATGTAAACCACTGAAATAGTGGTCATAAGACGTATCCAAGCTTGTGAAGTCAGTAATTCAAAGTAAAGACAGAGATTAAGCTAAGGACTTTATTATGCCCGAACAAACGCCACAACACTACGAGTGAAGACAGAGAGACGTCAAACATAATCAAAGTGAAGGAACCAGGGTTCACCAGCATGAAGTGAAACTATTCACACAACAGTGATGTAAACCTAAAGTTTTATGACGAAACTAAAGTCTTAGTGATACTATATTTGGTTAATACTGACACCCGGCTTTCACAAAATAAGGATACAACTTGTCTACTAACTTACACCAAGTAAACTTCGCACAAAGTAACTTCTCAGTTAATTAACACAGCTTATGACTAGGAATGAATGGAGACACATGATTCTTGAGATCAACTTTAAATAAACCTCTGCAAATTAGACAGATTTTATTTTGATTTCTATTCCCGCGGAAGACCTATGCATCATGGTGTTTTCAGTCTACAAAAAAGACTAAACAAATGCAATTTTGTTCGCAGGTTCATGGTGTAACAAACAACCTTTGAATGAAGTGTTCTACACTCGGATTTAATCTTAGAAAGCGATTAAACGTTGATTTTGTGGCGGTTATGCACATAAAAAATGCGATATAATTTTACAACGAATAAAATGAGAAAGGTAGAAAGTAGCAATATTTGGGTTAACATATAACTGAAAATGGACGTAGAAACAAACATTCAAACATATTCGGAAAGACAAGAGAAACAGTCAAGATATGGGTGAAATTATAGGGTATATCAATTATTATGAACAACAATATATTGATGCTTTTTAAGAAAGAAGAAACTAAAGCGGTAGACATTAAGTTGTTGTGTCCTGTAAATTAGAAATAATTTGTTACAAGCAGTTCAAACTTTATCATTCCTAGTTCTCAACATTATGATAATAACTTATTTTAACTAAGGTTTATCAGTGAGTACAATTAAAATTCAGGAAACCCATTCCATTTTATTTGGGGCTCGTCAGCTAAACTTGAGCCCCAGTGGTAATGTTAAGACTAAAACTTGAAGTCAGTCCATTTCTTTTTGAACGCTCAACGCGTTAGCTACTGAATTCAGACAGTTGCTGGTTTGCGCAACGGCAAAAACTTTAGTTCATTAAGAACTTGAATATTCGTTTTGATGATTTTAGGAAATGTGATTGATCAATCTTATGGCATAAGTGCGCTTATGACGCTATAAGTGAAAATTACTGGATTGGAGTCCCAGTGTAAACAATGATATGAATGCACGAACATTCAGCTGATGAGTTGTGCATAAGACGAAACGCGCATCTTCAGTTCAATTCAAGCCACTAACAAACATTGCTTAAAATGATTGTAACTTAATTTATATATCGAGGAGATCCCTTCAAGATATACGTATACAAAAAAGGCTGGTCAGTTCTAACCCTTAATATCAGCAACGGGAAAATTCAAAAACTAACAAATGAATTATTTCAAATGAGCTTTTTTTGGTTTATTAAAAGTATTGGATATGGTAGATAGTATGACTTACACAGCAACTAGATTATGGTTCATTCAATACAAAAAAGTTATCATTTACCTTCAACATAATTTAATCTGATATTCTCAGGTGTTTTTACATCAAACTCATTAAGATCGACTTTGATTTGAGGTTCTAAGATGTTTAGACAAATTACTGGTGAAGTATTCATAAATCTGGAATTTAAAGAAAACTAGTTTCAATGTTATGAATGAAAATTGAATTGATAAATGGCCCTATGTAAAACTAGGTAGTAATCCACAAGGATTAAAACTCACTAAATATCAAGCGTAATTAATTCCAGTAACTAAGATGGAATAAATGAAATAAACAATTAATGTTAAGTACTCGAACTTATAGAATGAAAAGGGACGATCATCTTAACTTACAAAAGACTGTACTAACTTAGTGAAACAAATTAGGTAAGAACTTACACTTTACGAGGTTTTTCTGGTGTAGATTTATCCAGATCAACATCTAATGCCCTATTATTAACAGTAAAGTTAGCATGAAGTGATTTTTCGTGAACTTCCTCATCCGAAAGATTTCGGGAATAAGGTTCAGTTGTCTCAAGCTTTTCAGTTGAACTGTCAGATTTGTGCACTGAAGTGACTGGTGTGACAATTACTTCCGTAGGATCACAAGTAACACCATCTCCTGGTAGTGCTTCGTCTTTTTTATTACTTAGCTGGATCTGCGAATCTTCATCATTCGTAACCACGGAGTAAATTTTACTATTGTATACAATAGGAGAACACGCAATAGATGACTGGTATGATGTACTTGATTTGTTCAGCAGCTTAGGTGTACACATCTACAGCACAAGATAAGCATTTACAACAATAGAGAAATATTTTTGAAAATTACCTCCATCAGCTTCGGCAACGGTTTACTTTGAGTAAAACTTCCTCGTTTAATGGAATCGACATTTACAGGTGAGGTAGCTATTGAACCAAAATAGTTACTGCTAACAAGTGGTTGAGATTTCGAATGAGTGGTTGTCTCGAAAGTTTCAAAATCAAAATGCTATAAATACACAATGTATAATTACAGATATATTTTAGGAACTACGATATAAACACCAAGAAAATCAATATTTTAAAGTCTAATGTTTGAAGGATAAGAAAACTAATTTTATAGCCTGAATTCCACATAAACTCACAAGAATCCCCATTAAAAAGTTTTTTTTATGGTTTTCGCTGATTAAACGCATAATTAGTGAAGATGTAGCTTTCTCCTTGTTCGCAACAAAAAGAGGAGCATGTTTTGGCACTGCACAGAAGAATTATGTTTAAACAGATAACCAGAAATGTTGCAGTATTGAAGTACATGATACTGTTAGTTTTTAGACAACTTCACTATTTGTAATAGATCTTACTTTAAATTTGATTGACTGAGAAACGTTGAAAGGTGACTAACAACTCGATCATGATTTTGCATGATCTATGTGATATATTAACAAACAATATCTTAAACACAATGTGCAGTTAAGATATATGTCAATAAAAATCAGATAAGGCCCTTTTACCAATGAACATGAGAATGACTACAAAACAGAATGATGTAATGCGAGAAGTATGTCTTTATTACTGAATCTTTTGATTAAAACACTAAAAAGAATAATGTAACTTACATATATATTTTATACTCATATTTCGACATTAAAAAAATTAAAAATGTCGAAATTTCTTCTCAATTAACTCCTTATTATAACACTATAATATTACGTAAATGTTTCACAACTGGTAATAAAATCAATACTAATCAAACGGTAGTAATACATAAAGGAAACAAATCAAGAATTTAAGAAATATATTCCAACTTTCGTATTTAAATTGTATTTACTTAATTTCTTTGATTACTAAACAATAAAACTCTCTTTTATTGGTTATTACGCAATCTTTTGACAACCTTTGAACTCTTCAGTCAATTATTCACTATTATTTTCATGTAAAACTGTCAAGTTATAAAAATTATTAACTAATTCATTAACTTTTGATTCGTATTGATTTTATTATCCGTATATTAGCATGAAGCATAAAGGCAAATCTCAAACGAAAAAATACCTCCTCGTTTGACTTTTTTCAGGCATCTTTCATAAAAATTGGCGATCAATAATTCCCTTTGAATGTCATTATTAGGAATTGAACTTATTTTAACTTTAAACTGAAGGGTAATTGAGCTCTCTCTGATTAATTTATTTAACACGAAAAGCCTTGCAACTCTGATGCATTGTCAATCAACGTTATATACGATTAAAACATTAGGAGCATGTTACGTTTTTATCATTGAACTAGTATGGTAAATTGGTCCACTAGGGTTCTTGGTACCTGTGTGGTTGCGCCACAGGATTGAGCTGTACTATTCAGATTGTAGCGTTAAAGCCTGTACGGTGTCTGGTCCCCCTGCTAAACGGGGTTGAGCTGTACTGTTTGGGTTTTTACGTGAAGGTCCGGATGGTGTCTGGTTCTCCTGAAAACCAATGTAAAATTACCCTGGCCCACAAGGGTATATTATATATAGTATGGTAAATATGGACTGTGAATTTTTATGTAAAATTTGCGAATATTCATATTCATTTCATCATAGAAGTTTAACAATAGAATAAAAAGTATCTGACAAATAACCATATTGAATGAAACTATGAAATACTACTAATAATAACTAATTAAATGGTAACGGAATTCGACATGCCTTCGTTACAAACATACTATTTTACTTAGTTTCACAATAAATGTTAAGCATTTATTTTCCAGACATATCGAATCTGAGAACCAATAATGAACAAACATCCAGAAATGAAATCAGTGTCTACTCTAGTTGGTCTTATTTTGCGACCTCTAGTAAACGGTACAGCGCTCTTAGTACAAAACAGCATATACAACATTACATATGTGACCCTTTAAAAGCTAACAATGTTCCCATAAGTTGATTAAATACATCATCTTATGTAGTCTTATAGCCATATTATGCTAAACAATAAACACAGAGCTTCGGTCTTCAAAACTAAATATGAACAGAGATTTTTTGGAAAGAATCTCAATATAAATCTTCTTTTATCAATGTGCATCTCCGGGTATAACAAATAACCACGAATACTAGACATAGTGTCTTGAGAAAACATAAAACTGCAACATTGAAAAACTACCGAATCGCCTTTAACACCGTATGCCTTGTAAATAATTTCCAGAATGAATAATGATACTGAAGCGTCATCAAATCAGGTAATACTAACACAAAAATGTTAACGTACCTGACGCAAAGATTGTAAACGCCTCAAAATAGAGACTAAATTGGCTTCTTCACTGTCGTCAACAACAGTTGGTGATGTAAACTTCAGCTGGAAGAAATTCTTACTCAGAGCACTCACTATGATTCTTGCTTCAATGACATATCCAGAAACTGACTTTGCCCACTCACATACATCTTTGATCGGCTCAGTCATGGTGAAACGTACAACAATAACACCCGTTTCAACTAGGAATCGATTTTAAGTAGTTTGAATGAAGAAGATGAAACATATACACTTTATGTAGAGCATCCACAAATGTTACTTGATCGCAAAAGTAGGAACAAAACTCAGCCAAAGAACATTTATAGAAGGGAAAATATTTAGTAAACATATCGACCTAGAAGATTATGTATATAAAGTCACCTGACGACAGACCTATTTGTCCAACTAAATGTAATTAAATATGCAATTAAGCATTACCGTAAATCTGTGCACGTTTAGTGAAGGAACCTTGTCTGTTTTGTTCCACTATCAATAAGAATAAATGTACCTGATCAATCACGGTAGCACAACGAACATCATAGTATGATCAGTTCCTAATCCAGATGGAAGTCGTTTAGAAAAATATCATTGGATTTGTATACAAATAAAGGTCGAAACTTTTAAATAACTAGATTTAAGTGACTTTAGACTGCTACAGTTGGCAGATTCATTTTATAGCCAACCGACATCAAGGCTTAATCCACAAACCAACTTCATTAAAATAAAAATGCTCTCTCGAGCAAATTACAAACACGGTCTCAGTCTTAAGAATAAAAGCACAAAGCCAAAAATTTGATACATTTATGTTTTATCAGAAGGGGTTTGTGGAGATTTTAGAAATTTTCACATGATTTAAATCTGTGAACATTTATGTTTGACTATCTGATCGATCATGTGTTCCGCCTTTGGAGGTAGGGCAGTAAGTTGGGATAATCTGCTCGATCTCTCAGAATGTTCTCATAAGGTTGTGATTTGAAAACCTATTACAGGGATATCTCATTTACTGCTTTCATGCAGCAGCAGTATTACTTACGAAAACGAGAGTACGAACGGAGAACATCCAGAACGTTAGTGGGTACAGAGGATACCACCTACTGGATTTAGAAAACCCTGACCCTAAACCAATTGTATGCAGATTCTTCAGGATCCTAAGGGATTGAATAATGTATGAACTTATTATGGCCTCCGGCTTAAATGAGATAAGACCTCCTGACATCTCACTGCTTCCTTATAGATCAAACCCACATATCAAAAGTTGAGGGAGCAGTCCCCTAAGAAAACCATATTCTTCGATTTGTATTCCTGGGTAAAAGCCAGCTCGCATACAAATATTAGTTGTGTGGCTCACACTACTTTTGATGTCTACTTGTATTTTATTTTAAATAGCAAAAGAAACCAACAACAATGATGTTTATTTTCACTGTTATAAACTCAGTTCCATTCAGAAAGTTCAAGACTTCAGAAGTATTGTACCATATTAATAGATATAACTCCTATTCCATGTAAACTGGAATTTCCAAATTAACGATGTAAAATATATTGAATGATTGAAACCAAAATACATGCAGACAGTTAAACCTGCTAACAAAAAGTAGGAGTATTATGACAACATAAGTATGCTCTAGTGGGGAAAAACTTGGGTTTCAAAGTAATTAATAGAATGTGTTTCGGGTAATATTTCACATTTCATGAGATTAGTTTATGTGGTAGTATTTTCCCCTTCTCAAATCTGAGATTTTGTAGGAACTTTGGTTATCTGTTTAATCTATCCATGACGTCTAGTTAGGCATCACCATCGACACGTCAGTCAGTTATCTGAGCACACCTGCAACAGACGGTCGCCATTATCTGTTCTTTGAGCCACGATGCTATAAGATCCACGCAGGTGTCTTTCCCTTTCGCTTAGTTTACCTACTTGAGCATTAAAGTCACCAGCCACTATTACTACATCCGAGTGCCTAGCTTTTCGAGGAAGGTCGGAGAGCTTTCTGTAAAACTCATCTTTTACATCATCTGCTCTGCAGTCAGTGGGAGAATAAGCAGAGACGACGAAGAGGCAAAGACTAGTGTATCTATCTTTTCGGATCCTTACTGTTCCGTCTAGTCGGACAGCGCACAAACGACTGTCTACTGGGATCCACTCTAAGAGAGCTAGTTCTGCCCTAAAACTCAATGCTATACCTACCCTGGCGAGGCCACGGGAAGCAGAATCAGGGCTTCCAGATATACGAAGTGTGAATCGAGTCGGTTCTTTATTTTGTCATGGTGAAGTCAAATGAATGACGCTACTCGGATCCTGTATGCGCGTTTCGGAGACGCAGCACACATCTATGTCGCGGGATTCTAAAGTCTTAACTAAGCCTGCTGTCCTATTTGGCACAGTGTTCGGACGTTAAAAGCTCCTACGTGTAGTTTAGAGAGTGGTTTCAGGAGACCAGGAATAGCGTTCCGCGTACTCGAATCGTTTGCCCTAGCGTTTCAAGGTGAAAAAAGGACGTGAGAAGGGTTAATCGGGGAGATAAGAGTGGTATTAAGAAGTGTAAGAAGGATTTGAATGTGACCATCTTGGTCTTGTGTGCTGTTAGGGGTATGAGGACTGGTGTCACTTCACGGTTGCCCACACCATGGAAGGGTATTTCTTGAAGAACCTGGAAAGGAATTCGGATTAGTGTTGGTCTTAACGACCTGGAAGCGTGACCGCAGAGCCCAAGGCACAACTGCTTGAGGCCGGTCGCGCACGGCCTTTTCGTGGAAGGTTATTAATGTGTTAGCTCCGTTCTTCAAAGGGCCTCACTGCTGGAGATGGAAATCCGTGAAGTAAGGTGAGGTGTGACATATTTAGGGTCGACCTTTTTTAAACCCACCCCAGCTTATGGGAAGGCAGCATCGCTACAGATGCTGGTTGTCTGAGGGAAACACCTTACTGCTGTCACACCTCTCTACAGTCAGCAGTTCGACTTCGCCCTCAGACCTTGAGTTGCTGCTTTTAGTCTTTTTGTTCTCCAATCGACCTGCCTGGCATGGTAGAATTTACAGAAACATATGTTCCAGCTAATATAGTTCGGTTGGGTCATCACGATAGGCAAGCCCGACCACCGCGTCAAGGTAGCAGCTTCGGTCGGGCATCGACACGTCGAGGAAATGTAAGTCAGAATTTTACAATCACCTAGTTATGGCCAAAGACCTATATTTGCAAAAGTTCTATCCTATTAAATTACCAGGTTCTAGTTAGAAAAACTAAGTTCTAGTGTGGTTGTTTCATTGAAGAAATAAAGTTATAGGCAGAAAACCGTATACTACTATGTTGGTGTCAATTACTTGTTAAAAATCAATTTATGAAATATTACAAATGTAAAAAATTGTTTAAACTGTTATAAGAAAAAAATAGTTCCTATCAATAGGTATAATACTTTAATACATTTAGGTAATGAGGTTAATAATTTGCATCTAGATAAAGCGTTGGCCGGAACAGCAAATAGATATTCAGAGCGATTATAAAATATAAGTAGTCACATGAGTAAAACCTGAATCATTTAAAGAACTCCAAATTTTTGCATTGAAGCGGAATGATGTATGCGAGTCATTTGAGTTGATACATTTCTATATTGGGTTTAATCTTCTAAAAGTCATCGGAATGTTCATAAAGCGTAACTTCCCGATTTCCAGTAAGAGGTTGTCTTTTTGTTTGAACACTTAGACAAAAAAAGGTTTCTTATTTACACACAATTTATCAAGTCGTAGACACTGCATTCGCAAGGGATTCACAATTTATGTAAAATACGTACCATTAAGATTTAAAACGTATACAAAGATGCAAATATGTTTTGAAGTCCCAACAAAATTGACCAATTTGTTCACCTATTTTTAACACATTTATTAAATGTTAGATGCTATTTTCAGACAGACACATTTCCATTAGTTTATTTTTTGCTATTTACAACCAAGTCTACCAGATTATGTGGGGTTAACTGTAGAATAATGAAAAATCTAAAAGTTATGCAAATAAACCGAGTACAAAAAGGATGCAATCCCGATAAATGTTAAGAAAGAATCAAATTACACAAATCGACTAATTTCCTCACTCATGTTTAGAAAATACAAATAGATCAGTGGAAAAGTAAATTTTAGAAATTATAACACCAAAAGTGATTATCCATTAACCTACGCTTAATATCCAAACAATCAAGTAGTTCTGGATAGATTGTTAAGATCTCCCATGTATACGAACTTTGAGATGTGCAGTCCTGTAAAATAATATACACCAAACAGAACAATAAAGGAAATCTTTATACATAACATTAGTATACATAAATTGCTAGCACTTCATTAGAAATGAAAGCAGAGCGAACAATATACTTATTAATGGAGATTTACTGAAAATTACACTATCCGATGAACAAAAGATAAAATGAATTGGGTTTTGAATAGTTAGTTCACTGCCATACTGATATAAATGATACATAGCACCATTATCATTGGTTGAAAACTATATGTAATAAATCAACTACATGAAAATTAGATTTCCCAGCAATGCATAGAAAACTGACTAGTATTAACAAGTGCAGTATCAAAATAGTAGACATTTCGTGGAAGCAATAAAACTATGGGCAAAACATACCGAAATTTGTGAGGTTTGATTAAGAGGTGCCAAACAATATGATGTGATTCGGTTGGTACCCAAATTGAAGTCTAACCAAAACACATCCCCTTTGACATTAGGGGTTTCGGGATATCTCAGCTTAAAATAAACAGAGTACGACAAACAATCGGCAGATTAGTTAATGTAGCTTCAAAACTGAATAAATATTTGTAAATTGTAATAATAAAGAAATCGTAGATATAGGTATCATTGCCAAGGTTTGATTTGATAATTTCGAAGAAATCGAGCATTAGGTTGATTGTTATAAATAAAAATAACATATTTGTAATACCCCAATGAGTAGAAAATTAGATTTTCTGACGTTTCGTGACTTAGTGTAAGTCACTTCTTCAGAGAATAAATAATCAAATTATTACAAGTTTAAATAGTACAACGGAACAATGCAAGAAGAATATGTGATTGTAGATATACTTGAATCAGTCAAAACTCCTAGCTATAATTGAGTATTTAGATGCCTTGGGAGAAAAAAGACATCTATATACGAACAAAATCACTAATAGCTTTTATTTGCGCTATATATTTATCATAATAACAGTAAAAAAACGCACAAGTAAACAAACTAGGCTATCGTGGATGTTGCTAGGTTAAGTACAATTTTCAGAGACCCTTCTTGTGCCAATTAGCGCTGTCAGATCAATAAGTATAAGACCAAATCTACAAACCTATTTCAATCCTTTTCTGAAAAGAAGGATCAATTAGTGGGGAAATTATCGAGTGAAGAATCAAATACAAACACGTAGTCTTATACTGCACGGAATCTGATATATATGTATCGAGCCAGATTGTCATGCTCCATATCACCACAACAAAAATCTAGGACAGTCAACAAAATAATTGTAGCGGAAAATCAAGATCAGAAAATATAGTTTAGATATAAAAAACTTAGTTTTGGCATGAGAGAATAACAAAACCCAATATTTAGACGAATATAATGAATACTTTAGTGCTACTGAGATCACTATTAAACCACCACATTAAAAGTCTCCGGAAATAGATAACATATAGTTAACTACGATAACTTTTGAGTAAATTGAAATGGTTATGATCGGCAATATAGTTTGTATAATGAAAAAAATTTCCTCAGTTCCGATGTACAATAACGAGATTGTTGATCTCATTCAATTCTTGTCTACAACCACGCAAAACTTTGTGCTCTTGTAAATAGAAATTGTTTTTCTTATTAAATGTATATGTTAAGAATAGCAAGCAGAACTCCATTAGTTTATCATGGTAACATTAATATAATGTCACTGGTTAAGAACTTACAGATAAATCACAAAGCTTCAAAGTCTCACACGGCAAAGAGATGATTCTAGAATTATTGGAGATTATAATCAAATAAGAAACATTCAAACTTTGGATCAACATTTTTTACACCATTGATTGTGTTTAGGAACGACCGAACTTCCTTGAAAGATAAAAAGTATGTAGGTTAGGACAGAAACCTATTCACAAGCTTGTAAAACATTTATAAATAATTTTATAATGTCACTTAATTTAACGTGCAAACAGTCATCAATAATTAGAATAAATGAGTCCAAATATTCACAACCATCTACAACACGACATGCATGTTCCATGTTAAGTGATAGACGAAAAAGACTTTGATAATTAGTGTTTTACTTTATAAACTACAATCGACTGATATGCACTAGAGGCTATAAATATATGTTTCCATCTTTTGATTTTTATCAAGCAATCCAATAAAACAGAGAGTTTCCAACCGCTAACATCCATTCAGAATTGACACTTCACAACTAAAATTTAAGAAATAAATTCCTTTATACAACCTGAATCCTAAAGTCTTGAAATATGGAAAAGAGTATTCGGATGAAAAATCGAACTAATGAACTTCTCAGACAATTTAAAAATATAACGTACATTCATGATCACGGATCTTTAGTTGATCAGAATTGCTTTCTATCCCCAAATGATTAAAACCTTCACAACTAGGCTTAGAAAATGGTTTAGAAAGCCAAATGTTATTGTTTTGTACGTCTGAAATGTTTTTAAGTAGTACGGAAGTAACAATGTGCAGTACGAATATGTCGGTATACAAAAATATTACTATTCCTAGACACTTGTACAGTCAATATGGCAACCTCACGCTTTGGATGAGAAACTATTGTGACATATTTAAATTACACCAGAGACTTAAGCTACCTACTACAATTCAATGAACTTTTTGCGACACGATGAGACTTTAGAAAACAAAGATTCAAATCAGTATACTTTAAGCTGGTCATTACTAAAGAAAACTTTGCATACAACACCAAAATAACAGTCACTTTAATGAATACTAACACAGAACGTTTTTAACCCATTTATGTATAGATAGGCATGATTCGTTTTATTTCTCAAGGTTTAATTTGTACCAAATTCTAAGCAACTAGGTTCAGGTTCATTATATGAGCATAAAAGCGATGTGAACAACTAGAAATTTAGTGTGATTGTTACACAGCCATATATGACTCCATAAGAAACAAACGTGATACAAATTTAATGGCAAGAGACCAGTTGTATGATGAATAATAGCGCCCTAACAGCACTCTGACAACATTTTAAAAACTTGGATTAAAAAACACCTCCCAATTTACCATCTGGAGGTTACTTAGAACCATGAAAGCCAGTCCTTGAAATGTCTCAATTCTCCAGATGACCACGTAACTTAGCTGATATCTATAGTTTTTCAAGCTCTACAACTAATCATCAAGAATTGGGATGAAAATATTTTAAAAATATTCAGCTTGTGAACCGATAGTAACTGAATAATTACGTGCATTCACACTTACGAATTCAAAATTTACGCCTCCGATATTTGAGAACTCTTGTGCAATCGTCGGAAACTCTCGAATGATATAAGTTGATGCAAATTGTCTCTGGATTTCTCGAGGAACGAGTCTGAGCAGCAGGGCAGAAGAATGGGCTTGGAGATCGAAATCACCTAAATCGCGCAAACCAGCTCCGAAATTGGAGCTATTAGTACGATGAGTTGATGTAAAGGTTATTTCGATTTACTGAACAAAAGAAATGAAACCTACATAGCTGTTCTTAGACTACGATCGTTCCAAAGACAGTTCCTTTTAGTACTGGGAATACCCGAAAGCATGGAATTCAATGAAGTAAGGACCTGAAGACAATTTTACAATGATAGGCAAGAGGTATGTTTATGTAAGATTTGATAATTCAATATTCAATACAACGACATAATCATAGATGAATTTCAACCTAACACATGAACTCGTACTCACACCATTTATTATTATTATTATTATCAAAAAGTCACATATTAAGACAGGCTATCATTGCTTTCACGCCAAGCAAATAAACATATTTTTGAGCGATACTTGGCATGAATAGATTTTACGGATGAATAATCCGTCTGCAAATAACTGAGTACAAACATGCTACAAAGAAAAATATCAAAATTACGGTCATGAAAGTTCCTTCTTACCATCATCCTTATGTTGTTGATTTAGATACCACACGAAATGTTATTTACTTTGCACATCAACAAAATATCGGTAAAAACTGAGTCTAATACCATTCGAGAAAACCAGAAATAGATCACAGACGATAAAATAGCATTTGTTCCTACACAAAACACTAAATGTTTGGATAAGTTTCGACTTAATTATTTAATAATATAAAAACTTTACTTTGGGAAACATGAGCTTAGTGATAAGTTAATAACTATAGTGGTTGCAACCAACATTATTAAAAGTTAAACACCTATAATTAACCGAGTAAGTTTAAACAGGATATACATAACCTTTTCTCATACTTTTTAAGACAGTAATTATCGAGCTACAAAATTGCTATAGTAGTGAAAGACAATAGTACTTATGTGTAATAGTCTCGCTCAGCAACGAGAATTCAGAAATGAAAAAGTTGCTCAATAAGATATAAAATATAAATTATAAAAATATATAAAAATTATTGTAACACTGATGTAGGCATATTCATGATCACAATGATCAGAATTACCAATGAACGACGATGACTAAAGTGTCACGTTCGAAATGCTAAAACTATTAGTAAAAAATTCACGCTAGAAATTATGTGTCCACTAAATTTCATTACTCAATTTTATCACCGGTTACAAAACTTACATCGAAACGCCCAACCAAGTCAGAATTATTATTCAAAACTATTTCCAACATACGAACCAAAAACCTTTGTACAACGTCACAGGCAGCTACTAAATTTAAAAGTTATATGAAAACCCACTTGATTTAGACAATTTGGCGAGTGGCTAGAAAATTACGATCAATAAATGTATTTCAGTATAGGAAAAATACCACAAAGATTCCATCCAAAACCTTCTTTAAAAGAGTTTCTGACGAGCTTTCTTTAAAATTAGAAGACCGTTTGAAGAGAAGTTCTGAGATAATGAACACGTTTGTACCAACATACCGGAAATGGAAAGTAATAAATCTTTTTGCTGAAGCGCATTATCCGGACAGCTGCTAATAGCATTTCCCACACATATAATTACATCTCTTGCTTGAAAGTATTCTAAATTTTCCGAAGTTTGAACATCGTGGAGTAGATGAAGTAAGTTATTGCCTTGAAACAAACTGCTGGGCTGACTATTGAGGAGCACCAACTTTGAAAACCGCTCCATACAGTGTTCTGCGGCTTACTGCGCACAAAGTGAAATAACTTCAAGTAGTTAAACAATCGTGATCATATTGCGTCACGTTCTGCAGCGCATGCACAACGTTATTCGTTTAGTAGTCTTGAACCTCGAAAATAGTCAGGAGACCAGTCTACGAAATCATTCACTGATTGAAATGATTTAAAAATGACTATGGTATTTTTCCTCGCTGAGTAAATTTCTTCGTTTTGATCGTTTATTACGTATCAAAACTACTGTTTTCACTTTAATTGAATTTATTTCAGTTAAAGTATTCGACTAGAGTATCATTTTACTGTTCTCTCAATTAGTTTTGTCGATGGTACTCTTGAGTGCCTCTTTTTCAACTGTATCTGTTAGTACTTTTGGTCCTAGCAATCTATAGCTCTTCACTTTTGGTCATTGATAAAAAGATTTTTGTTTCTGAATATCATCGCATCTTGAAAAAGAACCCCTCCTAAATGACCGGACAGTGTAAAAAAGGCAGTTGCCAACGTCCGGGTTGTCGTTATCCTGTTGAAAGCGGCATGCAGTGCGACGAGTGCAAAGGCTGGTACCACGAAGTTTGCACGATCTTAACGCCTGCTGCTTTCAAACGGTTCAGTAAGAAGGGTTGTGTATGGCTTTGTCAACAGTGCTGCTCGGATGCAAACAGCTTGCTAACCGAGGCCATCTCACTGGTTGATGCTGCAAAGAAGTGTTTTAGCAAGCATAGTCGGAACGCGTCAAACAGCACTCGATCCGTCGACACGCAAATCAACGTGAAGGAAACTAAGGTTAGTCCGGTGATAGATGACTCACGCCCGTCAAAGCAGGGGCCTGCCCATCTCCCGGATGAGATTTAACATGAAACACCTATAAGCCGCAATCGCAAGGCTCGATCGGTTTCAAGCGGCAAACATAACACGATCCCTCAGGTCGTCGACAACCCCCCAAAATCCAACACTAGGTTTGACCCAACTGTTATTGCTTCTACCAGCACCGTTGACAAATGAGTGAAGGTTGTAAGGAAGAAAAGTAGGGATATAAAAGGGAAACCTGCCCCCGTAAAAGTGGTTGAAAAATCGAAAGCTGATCATAGCGACAGATCAGCTATTTTTCATAGAATCTAGGAGAGCAATAGCTCTGAACCTAAAGCTCGTTTTGAGCATGATATTGTACTGATTAGGCAGCTGCTTAATCAACTCATGCCTCAAAATATGACCGGGGTCACCTTGCTAAAGGTGTACAGATTAGGGAGTCTAACGGACTCGAAACCAAATCATTCCAGACTGCTTAAAGTAGTATTCGGCTCTTCGAACGAACGTGACTAAATTTTACAGAATGGACACAAATTAAAGGGTTCAGGAGTCTTTATCCAAAAGGTCCTACCGTTGGCAGTCCGTGTTAAAAGACGGGAAGCCGAGAATAAACTACAACATAGGTTAGACGCTGGCGAAAAAAACCTGAAAATTGTAAATTTTCGAGTTGTAAGACTTCGACAGAGAATGATGCCGAAGCCACTCCGGTTGAAGCGCGAATTCACTCAAAGAGACTTCGGATCTGTTACACCAATGCACGAAGCTTACTTAATAAGCGATCGGAACTAGGTGTACAGATTGACTCTACAAAGCCAGATATAATCGCAGTAACAGAAACTTGGCTGACACAGACTATAGATAGTATAGAACTTGATTTCGAGGGTTTTACGTTAGTAAGGGCCGACAGAACGCAAAAGCGCAAAGGAGGGGGAGTAGCTCTATTCATTAGGAATGCTATCCCATTTACCATCATCGATAGTGTATCCCACGAGAGTGAGACGTGTGAATTAGTTAGTCTTCGCTTAAAATGCAAGGGACAAGAGCTGCTGATTGGTTTGGTCTATCGCAGTCTAAGCTGTGAGGCAAATGAGATCCTCTTTAGCAGTCTCATTACTTGGTCCCAAAGTGGTCGATGTCTAATCCTAGGGGACTTTAATGCACCTATGGTAGACTTGGAAAATCTGCGAACTAAATCGTCGGAGAATTCTTTCGAGCAGGAACTAGTTGATGGGGTTATCACTTGTGCTCTAGTGCAGCATGTGAAAGAAGCGACAAGGTACGATCCGGACACTGAATCATCCTTATTAGATCTTATACTGACTCACTATGAGGATGATATTGCGAACCTCCATCATATGCCACCCTTAGGTAAAAGTGACCACGCAGTTTTAAGTTTCGACTTCCATATAACTGTCAGTCATGAGGACGCGTCAGTCCAGTCCAGACCCAACGTCTGGAAAACAAACATACCAGACATCATGCACTCAGCATCGTTAACAGATTGGACAATAGACCCAGAGTCCTCCATTGAAACGGCCTGAGACGCATTTCGAAATTCATACTTAAAAGTTACCACACTTCATATCTTTTGGACTATACCAAAGAGACCGAGAAACTCACCACCATGGTTCAGTAGGGAGGTCCGTATCTTTCTCCGTAAGAAAAGAAAAATGTGGGATAGATTTAGGTTACTGGGGACTGATGAGTCAAAATCTCAGTATCGAAAGCCTCGGAAAACTTGTGCCTCGACCCTCCGTAAGTCTAGAAAATTGTACGAAGAAAAACTTGTTAAGGAATCCATAGAATGTCCTAAACGCTTGTATTCCTATATAAGCCAAAGGACAAGGAGAAATGGAAATATTCCTGCTCTATGGGGAGACAGTACTGCTTTATCGTTAGTGGAGGACGACTTTGGTAAGGCTCAAGCGTTCTCGGACTACTTTAGCAACGTGTATACCATAGAAGCGCCCTTCCCGTCAGCGTATACAGATCCCCCCATACATACACTGGATAGCGTGACCATTAAAGAACTCGATGTCTTTGGTCTGCTAAATAAGCTTGACATAGGTAAATCCACGGGGCCCGATGAATTACATCCTAGACTACTGAAGGAATTATCTAACTTCGTTGCAAACACTTTAAGTACATGCTTTAACCCATCCGTTACGCAGGGTCGCTTACCGAAAGATTGGAAAAACGCCATAGTAAGTCCTGTCTTCAAAAGAGGCACAAAACATAAACCTGAGAACTACCGCCCCGTTAGCCTAACTAGTGGGGTTGTTAAAATATTAGAAAAGATTATTCGGAAGGAGCTGTTTAAGTATCTCGATAAAAACCGGATCTTCTCGGAGAAGCAGCACGGCTTCAGAATAGGTTTTTCTTGTCACACTAACTTATTAGTGGCTCGTGAAAGCTGGTGCGCTCTTAAGAACCAAAAGCTACCTGTAGACGTCGCCTTCATTGATTTCAGTAAAGCTTTTGATAAAGTTCCGCACAACCGGCTGTTATATAAGTTAAGAAAAGTCGGGATTGGAGGCAATTTATTGATGTGGATAAAAGACTTCTTAGTTGGGCGTCAACAAAGAGTACGGGTGAACTCAAAGTTATCTAACTGGGAAACTGTTCTTAGTGGAGTGCCCTGGGGTACAGTTTTGGGGCCAGTGCTATTCCTCTTGTATGTAAATGACCTTCCATGTCTCCTATCATCATCGGTCTTGCGATATGCTGACGATGTCAAGATATGGAAAACGATACGATGTAAGAGTGATAGCTTAGAACTTCAACATGACTTGAAGAAGTCATCTGAATGGTCTCAAACATGGCAGTTACCGATAAATACTTCCAAGTGTGTTGTGATGCATATCAGTCATCAAGGCACAGATACATACACGATGAATAACACTGAGCTACCTGTCGTCCAGACATATAATGACTAAGGAGTTATCGTTAGTCAAGACTTAAAGACTACTGCACACTGCCGTGCAATAATAATAATAATAATAATAATTTATTCTCAAATAGCCGCCAAAAGTTTTAGAACGTTATGGTCAATACGTAGGGCTTTTAGTCATGTCGACGATAAGACGTTTTTGACTTTGTATATAGTGTTCGTACGTCCTAAACTTCAGTACTGCATATAAGCGGCCAGACCCTGTTAAAAAACAATAGTGAGCTTCTGAAGAAGGTTCAAAGAACGGCAACTAGGCTGATTCCCGGAATATCGAAGCCTCCGTATGGAGTTCGACTGGCCAAGCTGAACCTTTTCCCGTTGTCATATCGCAGAACTAGAGGCGACTTGATAACAGTTTTCAAATTGCTTAGTGATAAATTTGCACCTAACATGCCCTCATTTTTCTTGTCTCCCAAAACAGAGAATTTACGAGGACACTCCGTATTCAAGACTCTGGTGAAATACTACAAATTCGCTCTCCGTCTGTCGCTTCAAAAAGCTTGTTTTACGTGCGGTTATCCGGGGATACTGTGACATCTTCGTCTGGTCTTGCTGGCATTGATGTCACACTAAGCACTAGAGCCGAGGCAGTACTAATAGATTGGATCCCCATTAACAGTCGGTTATGTGCTGTTAGATTAGAAAGTTCCATCAAAGTGAGAAGAAATCCGCGTGAGAAACGATGTCTTTTCGTCATCTCCGCCTATACCCCAACAGATTGCAGCCGATGTGCCACATGTCGTCCTCCCTCTGCATCTCAAGCCTGGACTCAGATTGATCACATCGCGATCAGCTACCGCTGACCTGATTGTGTGCAAGACTGCCGCTCCTATCGGAGTACCTACCTGGACTCTGATCATGCCCTGATCTGCGCCAATCTGACCTTACTTTTCAGTGGCCAACGAAGTGATCGTCACCAAAGGATTGATCTCAGCAACTTGGTTGCAACTTCATGACGCCATGAAAATGGCGACTAAAATCAGTTATGGGTCCGCGAAACGTCCCGCTTATAATCACTGCGGAGGATATTGTCTTACTGTTTTGCTCTATGCTTGTGAAACCTGGCCTCTTCGAGTTGAGGACATTAGAAGACTCTCTGTGTTCTATCATCGCTGTCTCCAAAGGATTGCTGACATCCAGTGGCAACACCATGTCAGTAATGCAGAGGTTCGGCATAGTGTGTTCGGGCACAGAGATGATAATGCAATTGATGTCACCATCTTGAAACACCGACTTCG